TTATTTAGACGAAATAGCAACGCATTTATTACTCGGACTCTGTAACGTAGAAACAACTGATTAGTATGTTTAATTCTACTTTTGTACATACTCCTTTTATTATTTCTCGTAGTATAAAAGACCTCTAGATAGCGTAGAAACACCTCAGTCAAGTTCTATTCTGACTGAGGTGAGTTATAACATACTTACATATTTCATTTCACTCTTACTGATTATTCTCGTAGCTATACTTATTTTATTCCGTTAGGTATAGTTACTTCAATATATATATAGTCAAGTTCTATTCTGACTGAGCTATACTTATTTTATTCCGTTATCTATGACATGATATAATTGAGTAGCCAAGTAGTTAATAGTTATAGTCTCGTAGTTTAGTTTCGAATACCTCAGTCCGTTCTTACGCTGACTGAGGTCTGTACTATTTAAGTTCTCGTGTTAGTATGTTGATTCTTTACTAGCACTGTTATCGTAGACTTACTTATTTCAATAGATACTTACTACTTAACGAATATATAGTCCATTCTTACGCTAACTAAGACTTAATTAGTCCAATAATAGGGAGGTTTTCTATTGATTGATTGATTGATTGATTGCATTGAGAATGAATATAGAATATCAAATCGAAGCGCCCCCATCATATGATATTGCTGTACTTGCACGATGAACTGCAATAAGTTCTCTGCTTTAAGCTACAATGTTTCCGGCCACCAATTGGAGTTGAAGCATCCGCAAGAATATTGCCGGGCAATGGAATGATGCTTGCGATATGCACAGCGGAAGAATAGACTATGAGTCGCTTCGATTGGCCTTACTCTAAGACCTTGGGAAGCAATAGACCGCGCCATCAAAGAGTTCGAGCTTATACAAAAGAACCGCAATATACATATCACTGATGCTTGTGGTGCCTACTTATGCAGTGTTAATGGACTTGAGGTTGCTATTCACGGTGAACACACTCTAGACGTGGTCCGCCTCCGTTATGAGCTTGTGTATCATTAGCCCGTGCAAGCGAAAGCTGAACCACGCTTTTACTCGCCCACTCCGCCGAAGCGCCAATCATAACCAAAATAGTACTTGAGTCAATTTAGCGTATGCCTGCAGGGGATATAGAAGAATAAGAAGTAAAATAAAAATCAATTCACTGTCCCAGAGAGACTTGAACTCTCGATCTTCCGATGTCAGTTAGTTCCCCACTATAACAGTCGGACGCCGTAACCAACTAAGCCATGGGACATGTGTTGATTGTAGCGGGAGCTGCTCAGTGAGTGCTTGAGCGCTTGAGGATGGGAGGTTGTGTATTGAAGGACACAATATCGTTACAGAAAGTCCCACGATATCCAAGTTGGTTCCAAACTTCTACATCCTTCTCCATGTTTCTACTACAGCCCTAGCATGACTCCTCTGGTCTTTATATACACTCGTCACGTTCCCAGAAGATAACGTCAGAACGAGACCTCGTTTCAAATACTCAACATGTTCGGTTGCTGCGTTGCCGGACGTCTGCTACAGACCAACCTACAGCAGGTGGACGATACACACGCCCTCTTCGAGCTTCCGAATGCAAGCAGCATTAACCATGTATGTGTGTTCCTCCTCGGGACAAGTGCGTACTCTTCGATCTGTTCACTGCTCTCATGTGCTCACGCGACGTCAATTTTTATCTAGTCCCATTTCCTGAGGGCTATGGAGCTACGGTACACTTCCACTGGCCAGGGAAAGGCTTCCAACTACTAGGAATGTATGCGCCTACCTTCACCAGGTTTCAGTCGAAACACTCTAATGCTTATTCTCCCCAGGCTCTCAAATGAGAAACCCTCTGCCATCTTCCGCCTTCGCGGGACATTCACTCCCTCCAGTAACACCTCCGCTACTGCCCAAACCGCTTTTTCCTCTACCCAACCTAACCCAAACAACACCAACGACGTAACTGCCATCCTCGGGTTCGCAATCGAGCCATTAGCTGCAATCGCGAATCAAATGTCGTCCCTGCCCTCTGCCCTCTCTCGTCCAGGTCCAGACTTGACAAAAGACCCTGCAGCGCTCGCCGAGCGTATAGTAAAACATCTATTCAACTACGTGTCGGGCTTCGTGGGCAGCGCTGGTGTAGGTCCTGACGTCACAGTGCCGATGAGCATTATCGCGAGATGGTACGAGCAGTTTAGTGGGAAACTGAGAGCTGGAGGCGTAGGCTTCTTGGAGCGAGGGGATTAGCTGTGGTAGCTGCCGGCCTCGTGGATAAAGTCGTTGAGGATGCGGCATAGGGCAGGGGTAACGACGAGATAACGACTGTATTATAGGATCTTTGCTTCAAGCTGCCCGGTTATTTATTTGGATTTCTATGGAATTCGCACTCTTCTCTGAAAGTGACATCGTCAATATAAACGTAACGCTCAAGTCGTCTCTTTTTGACAAGGTGTGTTAGTACGTTGTTGAGCTGAGTTTACAGTGATGTTTATTGAATGAACTCTACTTTTAAAGAACCACTGAGTTATTCCTGAAGCTTGAAGGCGTGGCCACTCCCCAGTGGAAAGACCTGGTTCTAGGAGGTCGAAGTCGGTGCGGCGTGAGGTCGGTATTGTCACCCGGACCGGCCAGGTCCTTTATTTGGCACTCGCTTTAAAACCAAAAAGCACTTTACAGCATGCATTTAAGCTTTGCGGCCCAAACGCCCAAACGCGTCGATCTTGTGGTTTCTTCATCCGTGACTGCTTTATCCACGTTTATCCCTCTAACTCTCAACGATTGTTTCCTCCCTTATTATCCCAAGAGTCGTATTTCACATTGGATAAAGCATTTGATTTTACAGCTTTCGGCCCTTTTGGCCCTTTGTCTGTGGTTATAGGTCGGTGCTAGAGACTTCCGAGTCGGGCGAATTAAACCATACGCATCGATGGTCCAAGCTGGACTTAAATCTAAACTATCAAGGCGACTCACCGTGTACTTTTATTTTGAGCGATCTTTGCGTCTTTTATGGACGAACCGCGTCACAAATCCGCAATTGGTCTCGTGCGCTGCCCGAAAATGACATTCAACAGCATCGATAACAGGTCCAAGATTTTATTTAATGACCGGGCCTTCCAATGACCATCAAAATCTGCCTTTCAACTATTACGCACACTCGCCGATCTTCACTATTGGATTTTTACGTATTATAAACGGATCTTAAGCTCTATCCAGCCGGTGACTCACTGCCTTTTTATTGTCTCCTTCTCCACCGTACAAAGAACAATTATCCATCGGCGAGCAAACTTTGCATGGTATATGTCCGCTCCCCATGCATAGTCCCACGTGCGCCGAGTATGGGCCTCGTCGCAGGGTATAAAAGGTCCCACATCCTTCCCTATGTTCTTCCTCACTTGCAGTCCAACTCGCAATCAACATCTACCACACATGGATTCATTCGTATACACTTCTGTCGAGGACACCATTGCCTCTTTCCCCACCAACGAGGAGAACGGCGGCGGAGGCCAAAATGGCTACTGCATCGTTGCTTGAACGGAGAGCATTGTGCACTAGCAAGTGTTCAACTAGTCTAGGTTTAAAGGTACGTTTGCTTCTCGATGTTCGGCCTATAATCAACGCTTATATATAATTCTTGATACATCCAGCCCCGGCATAGCTCACACTTATATCGGCTTCACCCCTATTATTCGCCTAATACCCAAATTATATCTGCTCACCAACATATCATTGCGCTACCATCATATGACGTTGCGCTGTTATTTATTCGCCCAATTTGCCAGTCGCTTTAGGATTGAAGGAGAGGTTCAGAGGGTGGGACCGGCGGCATAGCACCTATTTATTACTTTCGGATTCTCTGTATTCTGTATTTTGATTGGATATCCCAATCAGAATATACAGTGTTTGAATTTTACTAGTCCAGCCTGCTAAAATATTCTCGCTGTATGTGCTGGTCGAGTTCGTCAGCATCCTTAAAGGGCAAACAGCGGGCAATTCAGAAAACTTCCAAACAGTTCCTTGCCATGTCGTGCTATATATGCATAACGTAGCCCATTGCGAATCGTCCCAAGATGTGGTATATGCTTGTCCTTGTCTCGAGAAATATTGCCAAACCCATGGAGTTGATTATTCAAGCTCTGAGCGGCGCTGCTCATGTTGGGGAGAGGATGCTGGAAGCTAGAGAAAGACCGCCGCGGGCGGTCAAAGGTGTGGTCAGAAAAGAATTGCCTGACCTTTGACGCCGCGAACTTCGATATCAGCCAGCCATGCCACGGACCACAGAGTATATCCAGTCAGCTAAAGAGATGATACATACAAGCGTTGGTGGTACAATTCTCTTCAACTTGGGCACTCATACCCTATCGGACAACGTCATGGAGAAAGAAATCGCTCAAATGCCCGGGTCAACGTCTACAGGTGCTCTGGAAGCTCAAGGTCATCGCCGAAGGATTGTCGGTAGAGGCAACGGTGAACAAGGAATTGAGAAGAATGTTGGAGCAGGGAGCGTACACGTCGTCGACTTGTTGAAGACAAGTCCTCTTGCTATTCTTCAAGGAGGCATGATATATTCAATTCATCGTAGTGGTGCAAATTCGTTTTTTGAGAGTGTAAACGTGAGTATCTTGTCAATTCAGCTGAAAGTTCACATGTAATTTTTGTTGATCATATCTAGTACTTGCACTCTTAAAATCATCCTCACAAGGTAGTATGAACTCTTGTGATTACGCTCAGCACATATAACTATTGGATGGGACTCACGTGCTGGTACGCGTCTGATCATGCGCTACAGCTTCAGTTCCCATTACGACGATCGGGTGGCTTGCTCGTAGATAGATACTCCGTTATTCGCTAGTCTTTCGAATCATCGTTTACTTCTGTAGTATAAAATTCTTCGGGCACAACAGAAAAATCTCAGTCAATCGTATTTTCGTGACTGAGGTATATTTCTCTTATTTTACTTCCTACCTTACTACATTATTGGTGTCGCTACCTTGTAGATACTTAGGCGCCTCTAATAGGTAGATTACAAAGTCAGTTGTATTTTCGTGACTGAGACACTTACGCGCCTCTAATAATAATACCCTGGTATTCGGATTTATGCGAGCAAGAATGTAGCTCCTGGTGTAGAAGCCGCGACATTCGCTACTGCTTTCATCAACATTATCGCTCTAGCTAATAAGTATAAACTGAAGGCTAAAGCTTTGGCGAGCATCTGCGAGGAGAAAGTGCAAATCTCACGTTGAAGGATAGAGTGCATAACATATTTGAGCAGGACTTCATATAGACTTACTTCACCCATCTACAAAAACAAATGGATTGCACAGCATTTCCATTTGATAATCCCAGTGTTGGATACAACTGCTATTCTACTTGCAGACTGTGTTAGAGGTACTTTTTGACTTTGTATTCACAGGGCCCTCAAATTCGATAAATCCAGTACGATCGGCTTTGTTTGTAAGCACGGTTTCAATATTGACAGAATCTAATAGAAATTATCAGCGTTACGCCTTGTGTAAGATATTCATACTTGGGTGACGTACACTTGTAATGTGTGCCACCAGAGGGGTCGTTTTTTGCGACGCGCTATTCATTAGATATGGGACATTTAATAAAAATTACAAAAGATTAATATTATGAGACTGTACCTTGTCATCATAATTAAACCATATGAGTCCGGAAGCTATGATAGGAATACTGCCCTTGCTGCTTACAGTACAAGTTGTTGTTTTCAACTGAATGAGCAAAAATTAATTTTTCGTTCGATGGCAGTGGAGTTTGAGGGAATGACTAACACTTCCTGTACATTTTTTTCCGTCTGGACTCGGGAAATTAACACTGACTGACTGCGAAGTGTCACTGGTAGCAGTGAAGCTAGTAAGGAAAATATTAAACTATGAATGCAAGCAAGCGATACACAGGATCGCATACCTCGATGACTGTTCGTTGGTCACAGTTGTCGTTGTAGAAATGGAACTGCCAAGGGTGCCGAAATCTGGGATCGTGAAACCGACAGTGAAGCCAACAGAAGTAGCCAAACTTGTGGATTCTGAAGTCGAAATGCGACAGGAATATCAGTGTACTGCACTTGAGTTTGTCGTAGTGACGCACGTGTGACACTCCAGGTAGAGGCGCTACTGGTTCCTGATCCTTGTTGAAAGGTCACCTGGCCGCTAGTTCCGTCAAATGATGCTTGGATGTCCTGGCTTGCTGAATTACAAGTAGGTTGCCCTGCAACAAGTTTCTGTTAAGGGAAGACAGAAAACGAAGACATAA